CCTTGTTCCTCGGACCAAACTACTTCAAATCTTGGGAAAAACCATCATGTCTCAGATCTGGTGAAACTGAACATCAGACCAAACGCTGTCAGACCAAACGTAGGGCGCGCGAGAGTTCGCCTGAGCGATCTCTCGCTCAGCTGTAAATGAATGTGTATTCAGTCTTATTGTGTCTGGCGATAAAAGCTGGCTCTATTAAAAATGGAACAGAAAAATGCAGGAAAGTAACTTTCACAGCTGACCTGCACCCGATTCCCGGACCGTCCAACCACAACGACCTTCACGACCTGGCCAGTTTGCTGGAATCATCTAGAAGCCTTGTGGAGAAGCTAAACAGGACACCGAGACTCCCCTTCAGCAGTGGAAGAAAACAGAGCTGGAACAAAGCCAAGAACCCAGCCGTCACTCCTGACCTGCTCGAACCAAGACCTGGACCGTCCCGCCTCAGAGACCTGGACATCAGAACCATCACGCTTCCTACCAAGACAGAAGCCTCTGGCTGCAAGAAGCTGACCAGAGTGTGAGGATGCCAGCGCTGGCAGGCGGAAGTCCACCGACCATCTTGCATCTCCATCAAATGAGCCTCTTCTGTTCTTCGGTCTTTTTGTTTTATTCTTTTTCTCAGTTTATGTTTATCTTCTACATATATTACATCCTTTCTAAACTGGACCTTTATTAAGAACACACCGGCGCAGGAAAAACGGGTTCTACAGCACAGGTATGTACAACTTAGCCATTCTAGAACACAAGAACACACAACTTAGTACACAACCATTTTAAAGCACGAGTAGATTCAACACAAAATCTTTTTTCTTTAGCTTTGCTCTAGTTTTTGTATGTGTTGTTTTAAATGATATCACATTTTATTCATTTATTGATTTAGGACACGAGCGCTGGCTGGAGCAAGACCATCAACCATCTCCCAACTCCACCAAATGGGCATCTTCTGTTCTTCAGTCTGTTTATTTGACTTTTTTCTCAGTTTATTTCATCATTTCTAACCTGAACCTTAAATAAATAGCACACCTGTGCCATGAAAGAGTTGTGATTACTTTTGCTAACTATTCTCACATACTGCTTTGGCGTACTATGTAGTAAGTAAGTCTGCCATTTCGGACACAGCCGTACTGTCCACTCTTATGTACAGGCTATGGTCTTACTCCGCTTCATGTCGTGCCTAAGAACACCCCTTCCCCGTGATACAATCTCAGTAACACACCGCCTCCTCCCATCTAACAGAAAACATCACCACAACATTCAGCAACATTTGCAAAAAGGTTCCAAGGAGGTTAGACTTTCATAAAAAAATAGAAATATTGTTCCTGAAATGTTTTAAAAACATGTTGTATTAATGGTTTGCAACACAACAGCGTTCACAGTTATACAAAGTAATGTGTCAACAAAAAAGTAATGATAGCGGCTGATAAACTGGCCATATTTCAGTTATTAATCAGCCACAACATCAACACTGCAGGCTGAAACCATCCACACATCTAAGTACAGATATAAGCACGTTATGTGATACATCTAACTGCATAAAAACATTATTCTGCTTATAAGCATCCTCTGCTCTTCACCTTGTTGCAATAACACAAAATACAGCGACTCTCTTTAATGACAGAAAAACAACAGTGAACCAAAAACATTATTTCCATTGTATCTCATTTCCAACCAAAACCACTTGAACACAAATCAACTCGTACTTCCGATGTCGTAGGTAGGAACATCAGAGGAGGCAGCAGTAGCCCGCCTTAGCTTTGTGACATCAAATTGATGCGCAGTAGCTTTAGCTTGCACGTAGCAATATTAGTATTAAGTCTCTTTAACGACCTCGTAATTCAGAGGATCCAGTGATGTTCGGAAGAAAAATGTTCATAGGACAAAACTTATCGGGTTCTGAACATTATTATTCAACACAGGGGGGCGATAGAGGCGATTTTTTGAAAACTCTATTCATTCTGGCCATAGAGAAATGGAGCTCAGACCCGGAGTTCCTAATACGGACATAACGAGAACGACAGAATGACGCACGACTACAGTGGTCTACTGGCTTTCACAGCTGAATCCTTTACTTTCCCACTTTGCTTCCTTCAAAATGATTTACAGGCTGAAATACATGTTGTTTTTACTTCCCAACAGTATTAAGTAGCCAACAGACTATAATAAAAATGAACTCAATTAAAAGTACTGATTTAATTCTACACAAAATGCTGTTTTTTTAGGGAATAATGCACTAAAGTACTGTATTGAGAGTAGATATCATTTGTTTCTTTACACCTCTGAGGGAAACACACTTCTTGGATGCACCGTTTAGACGTCCACTCTGTTACCTACACTATATTGCCAAAAGTATTCACTCACTCATCTAAATCATTGAATTCAGGTGTTCCAATCACTTCCATGGCCACAGGTGTATAAAACCAAGCACCCAGGCCTGCAGACTGCTTCTACAGACATTAGTGAAAGAATGGGTCGCTCTCAGGAGCTCAGTGGATTCCAGTGTGGTACTGTGATCGGATGCCACCTGTGCAACAAGTCCAGTCATGAAATTTCCTCACTACTAAATATTCCACAGTCCACTGTCAGGGGTATTATAACAAAGTGGAAGCGATTGGGAACGACAGCAACTCAGCCACGGAGTGGTCAGCCACGTAAAATGACAGCGGGGTCAGCGGATGCTGAGGCGCATAGTGTGCAGAGGTCGCCAACTTTCTGCAGAGTCAATCGCTACAGACCTCCAAACTTCATGTGGCCTTCAGATTAGCTCAAGAACAGCGCAGAGAGCTTCATGGAATGGGTTTCCATGGCCGAGCAGCTGCATCCAAGCCTTACATCACCAAGCGCAATGCAAAGCGTCGAATGCAGTGGTGTAAAGCGCCGCCACTGGACTCTAGAGCAGTGGAGACGTGTTCTCTGGAGTGACAGATCACGCTTCTCTGTCTGGCAATCTGACGGACGTGTCTGGGTTTGGCGGTTGCCAGGACAACAGTACTTATCTGACTGCACTGTGCCGAGTGTAAAGTGTGGTGGAGGGGGATTCTGGTGTGGGGTTGTTTTTCAGGAGTTGGGCTCGGCCCCTTAGTTCCAGTGAAAGAAACTCTTAATGCTTCAGCACCAAGAGATTTTGGACAATTTCATGCTCCCAACTTTGTGGGAACAGTTTGGGGACGGCCCCTTCCTGTTCCAACACGACTGAGCACCAGTGCACAAAGCAAGGTCCATAAAGACGTGGATGAGCGAGTTTGGTGTGGAAGAACTTGACTGGCCTGCACAGAGTCCTGACCTTAACCCGATAGAACACCTTTGGGATGAATTAGAGCGGAGACTGCGAGCCTGGCCTTCTCGTCCAACATCAGTGTCTGACTTCACAAATGCGCTTCAGGAAAAATGGTCAAAAATTCCCATAAACACTCCTAAACCTTGTGGAAAGCCTTCCCAGAAGAGTCGAAGCTGTTATAGCTGCAAAGGGTGGGCCGACATCATATTAAACCCTATGGACTAAGAATGGGATGTCACTCAAGTTCATATACATGTGAAGACAGACGAGGGAATACTTTTGGCAGTATAGTGTACATATCCACATTGTTAGTTCCTCCGTGTAACAGAGAGGAATTTCTGACAAAATTAGCCAATGACACAATGTCTGAGCAAAACCAGGCAAAGACGAGTTTGAAACTTTGAATCTCGTGTTTTTTCTCATATTTTCTCTAATAAGGTGGACATGTTAAGGTTGACCACTTCAGAGACAAAAGGGGAAAATGAGGAAACGGGTGTTTAAAAGTGGTCTTACTTTTTCACTTCCCAAAGTTGTTTTCCCACAAAATGAAGAGCTCAGTTTCAGGATACATTAGAACACAAGACAGATCTTTAACCCCTTAAAATCCCACTTATTACATACTAAGGCTTATTATTCAGTAACTACAGGGACAATGCAAACTGCCTGAGCTATTCTCAGGTGTTAGAAGTGTGCAATAAAACTTCGGAGCTGCCAGTTGGCTCTGGACATTTAAGGGGTCAAGAGGACACTTTTCAATGCATATTAAAGTGTTAAGATGTAAACAGAGACATTCAGAGAGGTCTGAGGTTAAAATGCACCGTTCCAGAGAAACGTACCTGGTCAGAATAGTTCACAGCACAACCAGGCGTCCAAAAAGTTGAATTCCTATTAAAAGCTACCTCACAGAAAGCTATTAAATAGTTACAAATATCACTGCTGTCGGAAAAAAAACCTTGTATCTCCAAAATGGTAACTTTACAGGAGAAGGAAAAAACAAACTTTACCTTTAATGTAAGTCAATAGAAGCAGGCACAAAAAAATTTTCGTGGTACATTCTAAATGTATCATTTATTATATACATTTTGTGAAATATAACACTACGTGCTATATAGCTTGATAATAATATAAATAATGTAACTTTCGGAAGCAAACGTAGGTTAGGTTCTTCTGTCTCTTCTTTCCTAAAACACTCAGCATTCAACACCTAAACTGAACTAAACACAAACCAAACAACATCCATCCATTTTACTATTACGTGAAAACATAGTTACTATTCTGGAGATACAAGTTTTAGATCTGACAACAGCAAGATTATTTATATATATATATACATACATACATATATATATATATACTTGTTTCATGTGTACTTCACAAATGTTCTCTATCTGTTTCAGTGCGGTTTTCCTGTTTGCCTTGTGTTTCATAGAATTCATCTTGTGGAAAAACACTTTTTCCCCCCTCATCTTGGCTCTAAAAAGACAAGTAATCCAAGAGTATCAAAGTAATCAGATTGCATTACTTCAAAATCATAATCCTCTGAATTAGGCTACAGATTAGATTTTGGAACAGCTGATCAGCCATCTAAACCACAATATCTTTTTAAAAGTATTCCCTTTGGTCCTGAGAAACTGTTCCTGACTAAAACTAGCTTAAAAAAACTAAATATTAACTAAAAACATCATCTACTAAAGGCTAATTCAGAAAAATCAATCTGAGCAAATGGTATCCAGCAAATGTTTATTGGACAAGTGGGAATTCAGTGAAAATAAACAATATTTCACTGTCACAGACTTATAATTTTGCCAAGGAAACAAATCAACTGATTGCCAGGTGTAAGTGCGCTGCAGGAAACAAGATACAGACAGCTAAGGCATGGGTACGCTATTCATTTTTCTAAATTCTGTAAAAAATAAACTTTTAGACTTCAACAGGTTAAGTGGTAGACAGGGCAGCTGCGTTGGTCACTGAGCGCTCCGAGTTGTTCCAGTGCTAAAATGGGGCAGTTGGTGGTGGAGCCTGCTTCACTGAGTGATGCCTATAACACCACAGGCCAGGCGACCACCAGCATTACCAGTTTTGAGACTTTCTTCATCGCCTCCTTTACCCAAGTCATCCTCCTTCTCATGAATCTGCAATAGGACAAACACTCAATTAACTGAACACGTCACAATCTATCTATGTCTTACCACATTCATGGAGACCCTATGCTATACCCTAGCTCAGGGGTCGCAACCCAAATGTTAAGAAGAGCAATTTTGTCCTTTCAACAAAAATCAAACCGCCTTGGGAGCCACAATATACTATGTCCATTATACCATCTTGGCTGTAAATATGTCTCAGTGTGTGCTGATGTGCTAGTATAGGCTAAAAACACAATATAAATAAAAACACAGACTTACTTTGCTCTGCTTTAAGCTTTAGCTCAACTATAGCTGCTTTTCTCGCATCTCTGGCAGGAAACTTCCACAAAAGTAGAATAATTTCCTATAAAATGTCTCTCGACGTTCGATTTTTTATGAGGCCGAAGTCGCTTCTCATTCACCAGCTTCTTGTTCGAATTATTCCGTTCCACCTTAAATGGCGCATAAGGTGGCAGAATGTAACTGCTGCACTATTTAAGGTGGAACGGTAAATTTTGAACAAGAAGCTGGCGACTTTGTAATGTTTGACAGTTTCTCGCTGCAGATTAAATACATCAGGAAACCAGCTGGAGTGATTATTAATGCAAATAAAACCATTCGTCTCCAGATTATCGATGTTCGTCTTAAATCTCTCTCTTTGCCTTTTTGTCAGCTGCTAGCTAGACAAGACTGCTGTCAGTGTTGCTATGGTGATCGGCAGTCTGTGCTGATCTTCAGGGTTAAAGGATGAATTAGCAGTTCTACATTAACTTTAGCGTTTAAGACCATTTATTGTTAAAACTGTGTTGAACGATCAGCAGAGCTTTATTTTACTGGAAAGGAGGATTATTTTAACCTAAAAAAGAGAACATGTTGCCGACCCCTGCCCTGTGTGTTTTCCCAGCTTTTACGCACCTGCCTCGTCTCAATAATGGCTTCATAGTTATTTAATCAACGTAAGGGGTGTCAGAACAAAGAAAAAACAAAAAATGTGTGGTGCATTCTACTAAGTACTTATTACACATATGTTAACTCTAAATGCCTACAGACTGCTGTATGCCGGGTTTGTGCATATGTGCCCTGGGATAAATGAATGAGTTATTTCTTCTGGATAAGAAACTGAAAATTCCAGGTTTTTTGTTTGCTCACCACCATGGTCCTCCCAATGATCGAGTACGGCCCACTCAGTGACAGAACTTTATCCTCAATGTTTATTTTGGCAACACCGTCACTCCCAGCAGTCACATTACCCAGATCTCCAACATGCCTGTGGGAAACAGCATTAAGATTATAGCACTGATGCAGGGACAGATCCGGATGCAATGACTTATTATGAAAAAGCTGAATATTTTGTTTAACCTCTTATCCTCATCGGTATATCTCGGTTTTTCCATCTGAATTTACATACCCAAATCGTAAGGCAAATTATTCAGTAACTGCATAAAATAAATGTAAATCTTTGGGATTTTTTTTGTAAAAGTTTCCCTCAAATTAACAGAAAATGTGTTTTATGATCATAAACATAATGCTGTATGCTTACAATTTACTGCTGAAAGCCAAAAATCTAAGATGCTCTTTGTATTTTTTTTACAAAAATAATTTTTACAGTGCATATCACTGAAGAGACACCATCTGAGATCCAGTTTATAGCTCAGATTTGTGGAAAAATGGGTCGACTTTCAGTAGGAAAACTGATGATTTCAAGCTTCTTGTATTATGAAGTTTTAAAACTACATTATCCATCTATTTGACTGGAAAGAAGACAGTTACAGCTCTCATATGACACCCACCTTTTGAATATAGCTTATAAAATATGAAAGTAAAGAACATAACGAAGTGCATTTTGGAACCAACAGTGGTTCCAAGGAGTTAAAAAGTTAAGTTTCAGTGCATGGAGAGTTTGTAAGGACCAGTCAACAGGCTTGGCCATATTTCATATTTTTATACAGTGTTGAATAGAAAAGATTATTCAAATGAAATAATTATCCCATAACAGTTATAATCCTAGCCTAATAATGAATCGTCACAGTTTCACAAGCTTGTTAAAAGGTCATATGACTGTGGATAAGAGGAAAAGAATGCATGGATCAATGAGATTTTCTGCCAGTTAAAATCTGGCAGACCGAGTCGTGAACACAGAGTGCAAATTTTGCAAAATCAGTGGCTCAAAACATGCCGTATCTAAACATTCTGGAAACACCGAGCACAAGTGCTTATTCTGTAATGTGTGGGTCAAAAAGAAAGCTTGAAACAACTCATTATATTATGTGGCACAGCATAATATTTCAGTGAAGAGAGACGTGGTTTTAATGGTTAATGGATCTAGTGCTATACAGAAAGCTAAAATAGGCCTTTTTGAAATAAAGGGGAACTCCACTGATTTTACAAAAATTCAGTCGCTGAGATATAAACTAAATGATTGGTTTGATGTGAAATGGTGCAGAATAGAGAAATGATTTTCTTTACAGTGGTGGTGACAGGAAACAGGGGTTGCATAACTCTCCACAACAACTAGTGAAACTACACATCTCAGATTTATATGTAATGTAAAATAATGGTAAATATGAAAAGGGTTGTTTTCTTTTGGCACTATTTCTCCTCACAACACCCTGCATGAACGCATTTTTACGGAAGTCCGGAGAGGCAATAACCTGTTGCTATAATTTTATGTATTGTTACCTTGAGATAACGAGTTAATTAACAAAGTTGTTATCTTGAGATCACAAGATAATTAACTTCTCACAATAACAACAACAAAGCCACACTACAGAAAGTTATTACGTGAAATGGTTATGAATATAATTCCTGGTTGTTGAGACACTGTTACAATAGATTTACGTTAATGCCTAGCCTACAATGTATGGAAGTCCAGAGAGGCCATAAGGTAGTTATAATTTTCTGTATAGTTATCTCGAGATAACAAGATATATCATTATTTCAAGATGACGACTTTGTTATCTTGACATAACAAGATATTTAACTCGACATCAAGATAACAGCTTTTGCAAACTTTAACAAAAGTCGTTATTTTGAAATAAAGTTAGTTATCTTGTTATCTCGAGATAACAATGCAGAAAATTATTACTACCTTATCTCAACAACTAGGAATTATATTCATAAACATTTCAAGTAATAACTTTCTGTGATGTGGCTTTAACAGGTATTATATATATTTGGAGGTCTGGTTTTTAATCACCACCATAGTGAAGAATTATGATTTGGCAAGTTTCTCTACAGTGGGGCACTTTACATTAAACCACTCTGAATGACTCCGTTTACATCGCAACAAATTATGCAGAAATGTTGGAAACCGTCCCTTAAGCCATTAATGCAGACTAAACGTACCTGATTTCATCATTAGGTCCACCGTGGGTTTTGTTGTGGGGGTTATAGTGTGGTCCTGCACTTATGCAACCTAAGGTCAAAACAGCATGGGCAATGATTTGTGAGTAACTCAACAAACATACAGCACGTCTCAGTAGCAAAACACAACACATGGTCTGATTAATGTGAAGCTTTGATGAACAGGTTAGATTTAAAAGAATACAATATTTGAGTAGGACAAAAAAGACAAAACTCACCGTTCGTGTTGTCTCCAAAAGCATGGACATGAAATCCATGCAGGCCAGGGGTGAGGCCAGTGATCTCTCCTGTAACCTTTACTGGAGCACTTCCATCCTGTAACATGACAACTTTGTCAGTCAGATTTACCAACTTAATCTGGCCTCCATAGCTACAAAACTATACCAAACAGCCCATATTAGTCTATGTAACAGCGATGTTATCCCAATCCCAGGAGATTATAACAATGTCAGGGCGAATCAGATTTGTGGTAAATGACATAAACAAGTGTTCCAGTAGAGTAAAAGTGGTTTATGAAATCAGTTTCAGTTTGCAAACCGGTTTTCACGGCGAATAAATAAACTCAGCGAGGCGAATGACTCAGCAGTATTTATGATCTTGGACACACGTAACGGCCCAGCTAAGCCCCTTTTACCCACTTTTCATGTCTGTCGATTATCCATTAGCTAACCTAGATATCACTCTCCAACGCGACTCGACTACCTAGCAGTATAGAGGTGCAGCCAGGATAACATTTATGGCGTCGACCTTAAATGGAAATATAACTGGATTAACGTGGAAACGCCATTTGCATTCGGTTTGTTCGGACGTTATTTAATGAGACACGCATCGGGATTAAGCCTGTATGAAACACAGCAGTGTTTGCGGCGCAGCCCGACTGCAAAACAAGGCTAAAGTCGGCTTCATATAGTTCCAATTTTCCCACGTTCCACCTTAAATGGTGCAGCAATTGTTATTTTAACGTCTGAGGCGCCTGAACGTAGCTTAACCGCTGCACCATTTAAGGTGGAACGGAACAATCGAACTTCAACTCGGCTAAATCAGCACAAACTCGCTAGCTTAGCTAACGTTACACTTCGTCATTTTCCTCATGTGACTCAACACCAACTGCAACACAGTCGTTGTCATAAAAAACTGCAAAATATTCGTTACTGCGCGGGAATATTTGTTCTAACTGACAACTGACGTGCACGGCAGAGTAAAACGCAGGAGAGCTAGCGTTAACGTTACCAGCAGAAGTGTAAAATTCAGATCCAGAAAGTACAAATCCTTCCCGGGATTTTGTTCCAACGGCCTGGCTTCTCTAGGTAGATCAAGCCACCAGCGGAGCTGTCCATGCAGTTGGAACAAAATCCTGGGAGGGATTTTTACTGTCTGGATTTGCACCTCTGCCAGGCTCGAGCCGCGCTCTGGGAAGGAACTTAGCAAAGTTAGCATTCCCGCTCAGGCGAAGTAGGGCGCAGCAAAACAACGAAAAATACTAAATAAATGTACCTGCTGCTCGAAGTAAACCGTGCCAGTCACCTCTCCGGTCCCTTTGAGAACACACACGGCCTTCTGTGCCATGTTTTTGTGTATATGTGCGTGACAGTTGTGGCTACAAAACGAAATGACCGAGCTGAGCAAAGCCGCCAGACAGCGCAGCAGCTCTGATAAGGCAGAAGGCGGAGTACTCTCACCGACCAATCAGGACGGCGGAGGGCAGGGGCGGAGCTGATTGGCTGAGACGCCGACTGTTGAGATAAGAGCGGCGATGGTGATTGGCTGGCTTTAACCCACAGCAGAATCTCTTCTAGCGGTTCAAGTAATTTCCTTTGATTTACATTGAAAGTGTTGAGGACAAAGCGCTGCATTGTTAACGTAATGCTGATTGCTGACTGTGTAGCCATCGTGCATTTGTCAGCTCAAAAACATCCAGCATTTTTTTTTTTATAGTGGTTTGATGTGAAATACAAGCACCACTCCATTCTACAGAAACTACAGCACAGTGATGGTAACCAGACATCCAGAGGGTTTAACCCTTGTGTGGTGTTCAGGTCTGTGGGACCCAATTTTCAATGTTTACCAAAATAAATAATGATGTGATTTATTATTATTTCAACCCCAGATTCTTTGGTCTTTGCTCATTTTCTGTGAAGCACATATAAAATAACCCATTTTCAGCACCTTCACACTGTTCACCCCCCCCCAACACACACACACACACACACACACACACACACACACACTCACACTCACACTCATTTATATTACACATGTGGTGTTGGGGTGAACCTGCGGGGAATAGAAGTGTGGAGGTGCTGTGTCCTTCACTCTGTTCTCCTCCTACATGGCCTGCTGTTAGTGTGTGTGTGTGAGAGAGGGCGGACAACATGGACAGGCTGCTGACTGACTACAGCTGCTAAAGGAGAACCCTACGCTGGACACTTTTAAACATCCGGTATTTTTACATAAATTGTTGTGGCTGTATTGATTAAAAAAACAATGCAGTGGGTCCACCAGACCACTGAGTAACAAACACATCAACACCACACAAGGGTTAATGCCGCTGAACTCTCCCTCACAGAAAGGGAGTAATGGTTCCAAAAGAGGTGCCTCATGCCTGAGACATTATTTTGTTGTAATTGTGAGATAAGCTTTTACCCTAAATGTACGTTTTAAAGCCATTAATAGCAGAGAAGAACATGAGGACTGCTGTAAGGCAAAGAGGTCCCACAGAAAACCCTGCTTTTCCTGATTAACCACTATTTTATCATCATCAACGTTGCATATAAAACCCCAGAAGACACATGTAGGTTCGCTGGTCGCTTTGGATAAAACATAAAATGGGTATATTTGCTTAATAGACATCAAAATTATGACCTGGTTTAACCATTTCACTTTAAACCACTCAGAATGACTGTTTTTCAATCTCAAAGACTGAATTATGCAAACATCTTAAAGAATCGGTGGAGCTTCCCTTTAAGTTTACAGTTATACTCGTGTTTAGTGCTTTGTTGACTGAATTGCTGGCATCCACACAGTGCATTTAGACTATAGCACAAGCTAACTAGGTCTTTATGTTGGAAACAGCCATGAAAAATCCATTTATTTAAGGTCACTTAATCCCATTCATGTTCAACAACTACATTTCGCATGATAAGGAAAAATAGAGTTAAATTTAAAGCAGCCTAAAACTGAATTTTCCACAAAACACAAATTTAATGGAAGGGATCCCAAGAAGGTCGTGAGCCCCAATTAAGAAGCAACTACAGGGAAAAAAGGTGTTGAGTCAGTTTAGTTCATTTTGGTATGAAAATAGTTTATTAAAACCAAATCCCTATTGCTGAAATATTAAACAGGTTCACATCTCCACAAACTTAATTATACAAACATCTCATTTTTTTTGTACGATGTAAACATTGTAAGTTAAAAACATTACAGCAAAAGGGGCTTTGTCTCTTACTTTAGTCAATGTTTCCTATCATCTTCAGAGCTCATGGGGAATACTTCAAAAAAACACCTTTACCTCCAATTCTACAAATGTAGTTTGAGTAGTGGAAGCATATTTACAGCAGACTTAATTTTCTTCCAAATTTTTTTTTCCGCTTCTGGAACAGTCTCTCCTGACCTTCGCCCTGGAGTACATCTGCACTGAATATTTTAGTATTTTACCTGTTTAACCCATTTGATTCAAATCATCAACAAACTAACAAGTTGTTTATGATCTGACGATGTGCCCGAGCGGGAAAAACCAGAAGAGTGCAGTGCAAAGCAGGTCCAGGACCAGAACTGGGAAACACTGGTTTAGAGCAACATTCAAGCTCCATGGTGGGACACAGGGCCGTGCACCATGTTCAGCCAGACTCTGAACAAGATCAATTAGGTAATAACTGAATTTCGTTTTAGGCTACGTTCACATTACAAGCCTCGTTGCTCAAATCCAATTTTTTGCTCTAATCCGATCTCTCTGACACGATGGTTCACACTCGTTTAGGTGATTCAAATCTGTTATTAATATGAACGAACCGGCGTCATGAAACGACCCTCATGCGCACGTCCTACTCAGTAATGTCACGTGAATGAATCACGAGCATCATCAGCACAAACTAACGAGCAGAACGAGCTTCGCTGAGAAGATAATTAACTCTGATCAGCTCTCAGCTTCATTATTAGAGCGAGACGAAGGAGAAAAAGGTGCGATGAGCTGCTTTTCCACCGTTTACAGGCTTTAACTTCTGTTTGGCGCTGTTGCCATGGTAACGCTGAATGATGGTGCACGCGCAGTGGGAAAAAAAGTACATGAATTCCGATCTGAGCGTCACATTAAGGTCGCACAGCCATGAAACGGATACTCGTCAGATCTAGGACCACATATGACAGTGGCTTAGGTTGGATTTGAAAAGATCAGATTTGCGCGTCCACACAGCCCTGAAAACATCAGATCTGAGTCACATTAGGGCAAAAAATCGGATTTGTGCCACTTCAACCTGGTAATGTGAACGGAGCCATAGAAGGCGGGGCTGGGCACAGAACTTAATCTGTTTATATGGGAACGTAGACCTTATGCATCGAGGGTCCCAACAGAAATGTGTGGTTCCTGCATCATTTATGCTGTAGCATAGCCTGTAGTGTCCAGAATCAGCCTGGATGTGGACATGGAGCAAAATGATCCTAGACCTGCACACGCATGGCTCTACTGCCCATTCTAGAAAGGCAGACATATATGCTTCTTTTTTCTTACATATCTGGCCCTTCCTTTCAGGTCTCAACCAATATGTTGTGATATTTGCAATACCATTCTAGATGGTGTTCGTATGCATTTTAGCAAATGATCACACAAACACACGCATCCACTCAGGTTAAAAAGGACAAATATCATGTGAGCATTAGTGTCCATGGCTATGGCCTATGATTCATCTGCTTTAGTTTGTTCTGCAGGTTGTTGCTGATTTTCCGCCGTGGGTTCAGATGCCTGCGCTTCTGCAGTCACTTCGGTTGGAGGGGTTGGAGCTTCTACCTTGGCTTGGGCAAGTTCTTTAGCAGAGTCTGCAGAGTGCTCGGAGCTGCTAGAGTCTCTGAGCGTCTCGTGTCCGTTGGGCTGACCGCTCACATTAGCCAGTCTGTCAAGTCTGTCGTCCCTGTCCCAGCGGGTGCTTCTCTCTCGCGTTCCTGGCTCCCTTTCTCTGCGCTTGCCCCGCTCCTCACTGTCCCTCCCCTGCTCGCGCTCTCGGTCTCTGTCTCGCTCTCTCTCCCCATCAGGACTCCTCCTCCAGTCCCTGCGTTCCCGCTGCCTCTCCCACCCACCTCTCTGCTCCGCCTCTTCGTGCCAGCTCCCGAAACGTTCCCGACCTTCCGGCCTGTCCCCACTACGGCCCTCGCCGAACGACCTGCGCCCTCCATACCAATCCTGATCCCTGTCCCGCTCCCTGCCTGGCGCAGGGCGCTCGCCCCTAAAAGGCCGTCCCTCGTGCTCCTCTGGCCCATCCGGCCCTCTTGGCCCACTGGGCCTCATGAACGGAGGCCCGGGAGGAGGAAAGGGGCCTCTCATGCCGTGAGGAGGCGGCATGCCAAAGCCACCTGGTGGAGGTTCACGATGCATCATTTGAGGAGGACCCCTGGGAGGCATCATCTGTGGTGGCATGGGGGGCATGCCCGGCCGTGGGGGTGGCATGGGGAAACGCTGCATGTGTGGAGGAGGCATCCCTGGTGGGCGCTGGAGAGGCATCATGCCTGGTCTTGAACCCAAAAGCCCTTGTGGATTTTGCAGGTTCATCCCTGGAGGATTCTGCATATTCATCCCTGGAGGATTAAAACAAAAATAGCCTGTATTTAACCACACTGCACAAAACAAGCGGAATAACGCTTAATACAGCCATAAAACTCATTTACTGCCTTTGATGAGTGTACAGAACCATGACCTGTATACAAAGATGTTGATCTATAATCAGGTTTTCTGCTATTTGCACGTGCCATTAGGGTTGGGCGGTATGACTGTAATAACGCATACTGCAGTATTTAAAAAGTGAAGATGGTATTTTAAAAATCATAATGTTAAATTTGTTGGCTTTAAATTAAAGTAGCATTGGCAGAAGTTTGTGTGACACTGAGAAACTGAACAGTGGTCAGAGCCCCTGAGCGCCAGTGTGCACACTTTCATTAAAAACAATGGTTTTGAATTTGACCAATGCGGCACTGTCGTGTGCTGGCCTTAACACCGATGGTAGCTCAGCGACGACACACAGACACAGACACAACACAATTAAAATCGAGCTACTCTTTTGGATTTTGCTACGAATCCAATGCAAAAAAAGCATCAAATGCTTTAACATCACTTACAACCCCCCCACCCTGCTCCCTTATAATACTGTATACCACAGTAATATTTAAAGATTTTAAAGTATTAAAAAAAAGAGAATATCGCCCCACTCCAGATGCCATCATAATGGAATAAAAATAACTAAACCAACATCAAAATCAGAGATAGTTGTCATAAACTAGGAGGCACAATCATTGTAGACATAAGCCTTAAAGCATCCAGGCATAGTTCTTACTGTCTGACACCCACCTTGAACGGAGTTGAATCCATCTGCACCTTCCCTGTTCATCCTGGAGCCCATGGCTGCTGGATCACCAGGTATTTCCTCTGCTGAGCCGCTGACTGCTGTGGAG